CCCAAAACCCCAAAACCCCAAAACCCCAAAACCCCTCACTCACAAAAACCTTGAAATTTAAGAACAAAAATTCCTCTCTGAAGGAATAGTTTAACTTGGCAATTCTGAAGAAGAGGAATTGGGGTTATGTAGAGATGGAGGATAGGGCCCTTCTTCTTGCTTGGAAAGAGGAGGAAGATGGGTTATAGGTAATTTTTAGGATGATGTAGTGTATAAGAAGAGGGGGTTTTAGGTAATATTTGTGTTAGAGCAATTAAGATGTTTAGACTTCCTAAGTTTTTGAATCATGGAGGGATTTTACAGTGAGTCTGAGTGCAGTTTGGGCAAATTGATTAGAGGTTTTGACCGGTGAGGCTAAAATGGATTATTGGGGAGTCTTTGAAGTCTCTGCTGATCTTATTTAGGCCCTCTTTTCTTTAAATTTTGAGTTGAGAGTTGGGATTTTGATGGTTTTGGATATTGGAGATGAATTTCTGGGCTGGATGAGAGGGTTGAGTGTGTAAGAGAGGTTTTATTTGGGATGAGGGATGTTCTGAGAAGATTTTGAACTGTTTCTGAGCTTTTTGAGAAACTGCTTTGAGTGAGGATGTGAAGATTTATCAGTGGATTTGGAAATTTTGAACTCTTTACGTTGACTCTCTCTTTGAGAAGGAGCTTCGGGAATTGTATTTGGGAATTTAGAGTTTGATGGAGCAGCTTCTGATTGTCTTGTCCTTTTCCTTCCAGCTTCAGAGTTAGTACTCTGTTTTGTTACCTTCCTAGTAACCTTCTTTATAGCAAAAATTGTTCCTCTCTTTAAATGAGAGTAATCATTCACAAAATATTTAATCTTCTTCTTTGAGCCACCTAAGTTAGACCTTCCAGCAGATGCCAAGCTTGCTTTAGATTGATTTCCCTTGTTTCCATTCTTAACTAGTGTGTTGGCTTTACCAGTGTTAGCTTCTGAGATAGTATTCTCACTCTTTAAGTTTCTCTCTTCACAGCCAGCATCTTCACTGTTACTGAGTAAATACATGCCTCCGTTTGCCATCTGTTCCTTATGTGTTTTCTCATGAGCAGTAAGATTACTACTCTGAGTGAACTTCTTCGTTCAGTTAGGATAGCTTCACTTATAAGGCTTCTCACCAGTGTGAGTTCTGTAATGTGTTCTCAAGTTAAAATCTAGAGAAAATCTCTTCTCTCAGATGTCTCATTTGAAGGGCTTCTCTCCGGTGTGTACTAGTTGGTGCCTCTTGAGTTTAGAATTATCCAGGAATCTTTTTCCACATCCCTTGACTCTTCAGATGAACTATATATGTCAGATCTTGAGATCTTACCTGTCTTTCTCCATGTGTAAGTAAATGTTTCTTTAAAGAAGGGATATCATAGAACAACTTTCTTCACTCTACTTGGTGATTACATCTAAAGAGGTTCTTCTTGATCTTCTTATACAAGTCATTGTCTAAGTCTGAGATCCCTTTCTTTTCTCCATTGGTAGAAGCAACTGAAGGATCACGAATAGATTTGTATCAATCAGAAATGCTTTCTAAATAAGAAATTTAGATTTGGACTGGCTTTTCTCTAACTGACTGTCAAAATTATAAAATTTTCTAAAAATGGAGTCTCCTCAGGAATCAAAAATTTAGACAATGTTGCAAGAACAAACCCGATGAAGTTAAATGAGGCTAGATGCTATATTAAGAAGTTCTAAGGTAGACAAGAATTGTTTGTTACCTGCTAGGTCTTCATCAAAGCTTTTATCCTCTATCAGATCTTGTTTAGAAATCTCATCTTCTTCTAGAAATTTTAGTATGATTTGGTCTTACCTCAATCAAGACGGTTAGTGATGAGTTTGATTCAAAGTTCACCTAGTTGGGGTCTCTCGTCATGAAGTCCGAGTCTATAAGTCAAAAATCAGAAATTTTCCTCAGAACTTGACAAATTTTAAAGTCGAACAGTCTTTAAAGAGTTTATTGGAAGATTTCCATTAATTTTGACAGAGTAATCATATGTTTGCCTTACTTTGTCAGAATTTATAGAAGGTCGAATTGGAGTTATTCCCTGAATATTGAACTGGTAGGACAACTCCCAGAAAATCTTGCCATTACTATCCCCATTATATAATTTTTATGATAACTTATATGACCCGTAGAGTTTAAAATGAGTTGGTGCATAGAGAGCTAAGAGTCTCCAGAGTAACTTGAAACCTCCTATTTCGAGGTTGTTTTGCCGTCAAAACCCAGAAATATTGATGAAGAAGCTACTTACAGGTTAAAGTCTTCTGTATGAAAGTCCATATTGTTGGAGCTAAATTATTATAATTTAAAACAGCTTCTCATTCCAATTAGTTTATAATAAAACGGGGTTTTGGGGTTTTGGGGTTTTGGGGTTTTGGGG